TTATGTTACTTTTGAATCAGACCCTGACAGACACTGAGAAACACGCTGTTCAGCAAGCGCAGAGAGATTCGGGGATAAGCTTTGTATCACATATAGTGTCAGGGAAGGGGGCAAACATTATCCAACTAGAAGAGAAGCAGTACCAATGGATGACCCTAAATGGGATCCCAATGATGAGATGGGCAACTGGAAGAGGAGACACTTTCAGGTGTGCATAATAGAGTGCTTATGTAGGACAGGAATTTGATGAAAATCCCACTGCCTTCCTGGAGAGGCCTTTGTAAAGCACACCTCTCTATCTCCTGATTCAGTCAGGGGGCAACTAATCCTAAAGGATAAATTTATTACTCAGGCAGCTCCTCGCATCAGGAGGAACTTGAAGAAATGGGCCCTGGGAGCAGATAGTACATTAGAGGACCTCCTGAAAATGGCCACCTTGGTCTTTTAAAATAGAGACAGGGAGGTCCAGGAAAGAGAGAGGAAATACAGGAAAAAAACAGAAGCTTTAGTGGCCACCAGGCAAGCTCACAAACCCCAGAATTCCCAGGGTGCACCTGTTAACTGCTAAGGATACGGCAACAACAGTTATCACCCTTCTAAAATTTAACTGCTCCCATACAAGATTTAATTTCCTTCACCAGGCTGAAACAGCTCAGGGTACAATGTTGCTGTTGTTGTTGTTGTTGTTGTTGTTGTTGTTGTTAGTATATTTCATTTCTTATCTCTGTAGTCTTTGGCACTAAATTCTTTCCCTGTGTAATACACATGTTTAACCCATGCATACTTAATGTTATAGAACTTGTTTTTTTTTTCTCTCCCATGCCTAAAAGCCATCAAATTCCAAACAATCAGGCAACCGGAGCCTCGGACGATGGCTCTCCTTTGCTAGGAACCCTTAGATAGACCTCTGGGAGGAGTCTGACTGCCATTTTTACCAAAACAATGCCCCCTGACAGTAGGAAGCAGCTAAAACCAGTCATTGTCCATATTCTAAAGGTAGTTAGTTGTACCTCTTCAGAGGGGATAAATGATACGGAAGTGCTGGAAAGGGAAGAGCATGGTCCCTTTAAACGATACAGAAAGGGGAAACGGAAGTGCTGGGTAAAGGAGGGTGTGATCGAGAGCTAGGGTTTTACCCTCATGGACCTAGGTGAGGACAAGCATTGCCTGCCAAATGTTGCATTTCCCAAGACCACCGTAGCCTGTCATGCCCCAAACCTGTGCCTATAAAAACCTCCAAGACCCCAGCAGACAGATACAGAGGCAGTTGGACTCGAGAGGAGCACATCAGTAGAACACATAGGCGGCTGGACATCGAGAGGAACACACCAAAAGGCACCAGCACGCTGGCAGGCCACTCTCTGGCAGAAGTAGAACGTCGCAGCGTTTGGTTGGGGCAGTTGAGGGGAGCCCAGGCTGCTGAGTGGTCTGACTCCAGGGGAAAACCTTCCCACTCATCCCCTTCTGACTTCCCCTGAGCTACCTCCACTCAATAAAAGCTTGCACTCATTCTCCAAGCCCAGGTGTGATCCGATTCTTCCAGTACACCAAGGCAAGAACCTGGGATACAGAAAACCCTCTGTCCTGTGACAATGTAGAGGGTCTAATTGAGCTTGTTAAGACAGGCCACCTATAGACGGCAAAACTAAAAGATCACCCTGTAACACATGCCCACTGAGGCTTCGGAAGCTATAAACATCCACCCCCAGACACTGCCATGGGTCGGAGCCCCACAGCCTGCCCATCTGCATGCTCCCCTAGAGGTTTGAGCAGTGCAGCACTGAAGAAGCGAGCCACTGCCCCATCACACAACCTGACAGGGAGACAAGGGAACTTTACTCATTTCAATATGAGCAGAGGTGATATAAAAATATTTAACAATTTCTATGGGATGGATATTAAGCAATTAGAATAGCCGCTCCCAACTCAAAATGGACACAGACTGGGACATCTAACCCAAACCTCACTACTAGCTAAATGTCAATCATGATTGCAAGATAAAGACAATGGTAGTCTAGTTACATTTGACTGTAGTTTGCTCTTAAGCATTTATTTTAAAATAAAACAATTACAATCTAGCCTTTAAGGTAAAAGTACTGTTTTAACAAAAACATTTGCAGTTAACTGTTTTTGAAAAGACTTTAAGCTATGGAAGGAGTACTTGAAAAATGAATGTTCCAAAACTTATCTATTGATATGTGACTTCCATTTTTTGCCAAAACTACCATGTAGAAAACTTTTTATATGTAAAAGCTTAAAACCAGAATTTTAATTGAATTAGGGAAAGTGATTAGGAAATTATTATCAAGATTAAGTGAACTTAGCCAGAAATTTTTTCTATTTTAGGATTACTACTATTTTTGAAATAAAAAGCTATGGCAGTATCCTTTTAATAAACTTTCCTGCTAAATCAGCCTATCAGTTTCAGTTAAATGGCTGAAAGTCTTGCTTAAAGTCTCAGTTAAATGACTAGCTACTATATAGTGTTAATATGTACATGTATATATATTATATATGTAACTAAATTCTTTCCTTTATATATTGTGCATTCTTTGAAGACTAGCACCGCACCATCTCTTCTTTGTTTTTTATATAAGCATAGTGTGTTGGAGTCACATATTGGGCACATAAACATGCCAGACTGGTGCTACTGTAACACGCTAGCACCAATTGTTATGACATGGTACTGGAATCTTTCCATTTTACAACTGATGTATTTGAGGTGATTTTTCGAAGCACAGCAATTAAGAAATAGTATTGAGATGTGAACCCAGACAGCCTGAACTCAGAGTCTCTGTGCTTAACCATACCCCACACTGCCAGGTTAAGAGAATCTAACACTTCAAATTACACAAAGCAAGCTCATTATTGATACAAATGAGCAAACAAGTAAAGGAACAGAACAACAATTCCAGGGTTTCTCACTAAACTTAAATTATTGTCATTTTCTTTGAAAAAGACATTACTGCTACGCATGGTCATTAAATTGTAGTAGCAGCTATTATTGTTACTACTTTTTAAAAACTCAAATGAAAAGTTGCATAACAATGGGAAAATACATAGTTCAGCAGGATCTCCTACCTCAAAAGAGAAAGGAAAAAGAAACTTACATTTGGAAACTGGTGAAGAGGATTAAAATGAAACCTCTTAGAAGAAACTTGACAGAGGAAAACAATTAATTACTCAAGTGAAAAACAGAAAATAAACTAAATCATGATGCAAAAAATATAGATGAAAAAAGGATACATTGTGAGAGACTGTGTCTTGGCTTCTGTTTCCTTAACCTCCTTTTTCCAAAAAGGGTCCTATCAAGACCATGGGAGATTCCTAAAAAAGAAGTCCCTCCCACCCACGCCTAATCCTCATCACTCAGACCTCATCCAGCAGAGTGACTCCTACTTGTGAGAAAATATGAATTGCTATTGTTGGGTACTATGTGATGCTCATAGGGTTAGATGAGGATGACTATTAGGGAAATCAACCTGTGAAATTGTAATATACATTATTATCTAGATTTACTATGGTCTTCATGGCATTTATCCTCACATAGCACATTGTGTATTTTTTAGCCATTACTAATCATCTATCTTCCCACTCCCATTAGAATGTGAACTCCATAAAAGTAGGAACTTTGTTAATTTTATTAACTGCACCTAGATCAGTGCTGGTCATGTAATAGATACTTAATAAACATATTTTAAATGACTGGATGATATAATGAATGACATAATTTGAATGCCAAATATTTAAATATCTTTGGTTTAAATGTTTGGTGTTTGTGAAAAGGTCAAATACCAAACATTTGATCCTTTCTCTTCCAGAGCAACAATTAAGTGGTATGAAGAAAATAACATTAACTGGTTCCCCGTATTCAGTCAGCAACCCCTTCTCATTCCCCCATGTTTGAAACCAAGAAACGGAAGGATAAGTGCCAGGAAAAAGGATGTTTTTTGGTTGGTTAGTTTGTGCTTTAACATGTTGAATAAAACCCACTGGCAGCTGGAGGATAGGAGTATGTTTTTGCAATAGCCCTAAAAGATATTTTCATAGACCCAATACTTAAAATTAATAATTTGAGTACTTTTGTAGAAATATCTAATTGGATTATCCTCTATCTGGGCACAAGGTCAACTCCCAAAATTAAGTGAAAAAGGAGTAGGGTTCTGTGAAGAAACAGAAAAGAACAGTATAAATCAGGCCTACCTGCAAGTCCAAGGTTTCATTTACTTCAACTTTCAGTGTATTTGACATTATGCCAGCCACTGGGGTCAACTCAAATACAACTCCCAGGAGAGATATCATCAAGGTCCCACTACCTGTGAGTAGTGTACTAGTTACTGTGTAAATATATCCCTTCTTCAAGCAGCTTACAATCCTTCAGGGGTAGAAAAAGTCTTGCTACATAAGATAATTAGAGAATAAAATAGGACACCTTGCCATAAAGTGCTCATTTGGATATTTTGTATGCCCTTAGTCAACACTCACCAAGACTCTGTACTTCTATTATCCAGTTCAAAGCACTATCAGGTTTTCCTGGTCTACACAGACTTTATTGAATGTACTGTGCTAACAGATTATTTTTCCTAAATATGTCTCTTTGATAACCTGAATGATCTCTCCATCCTTTATATAATTCTGGACCATGAGGTTCTAGTTATGGTGTGTATGTGCCTACCACTCACAGTCACACGTGACTACAGAATGCCTCCTAAATGAGAAGTAACCTTAAGGACTCACATTCATGTGGCTTCTGTACCAAAATGAAGCTGCCATTTTTCAGTGTGAATATGTTTTTTTTCTCTCATGACATAGACAAATGTTGATGTTTACTACAAGTTGGTACATTAGTTGCTAATTAAGTTCCTAGCTGCTCCAGCCAAAACTTGCTGTATTGAATCCAAGAAAAGAATGGCAGCTATATCAAAAATAAGTTGTTGGGGGATTTTTTTGTTTTGTTTTATTAAAGGAAAGTTGTATATTAAAGAATATAGGGAACTTACAAGCTGGAATCTAGGAAGCCTTCAGTCTTGCCTTCCGTATAAGCTGAGTTGGTGGTTCAAGGCCATCCACATCTGTTACCAGGTTCTGGTCAAAGCTGCATAAATACCAGCAATCTAAATATGAGGCAGTAAAGTTAACTGTTTATTGTTACTCACTTTTTCGTACCCACCTGCAAATTCCCAGGGAAACAAGTTAGTGTCTGGGAACCCACGGGAGGTCAGGTTTATTTTAGGGAGGGCACAGAGGTGACTTCCTCCTGGCTTCTCCACATCTCTGCAAAGATGTCTTCTGAGCTTCATCTCTCACCTGTCCCTCGCAGTCTCACCAACCTCAGCCAGGCCTGCCTTGCTGCATTCACCAGCCGAGGGTAACTCCCTGTTCACGGCCGGGTCTGTGGCAGTTTCTGTTCACTTCCCCATTGGAAAGTCCCAAATCACAGGCTTTTATGCACTGCACGTTTTGACCTACAAAGGACCTGATTGTTAAGGCAGAACCCCGCTGGGAAAACAAAATAACCGCAGGAGGAGCTTTGCTAGAGTGTTGGTCTTGGTGCCAGAGAGAATTCGCTTTCCTTTTCTGTTTCCCGCGGTGTCCTTGACCAAAGGCCTCCCGTCTTCACCCGCCCCGACCAAAAGGTGGCGCCTCCCCGAGGAAACTCCCTCCCCTCTAGGCCGATTACGTTTGCAAAGTCCTGAAAAGAGAATCGAAACAGAAACCAAAGTCTGGGAAACTCTTTAAAAACTGCCTGACAGAAAGCTAGACTCGAAGCTCCTACCCGTCTGTGCAGCCGGATCGACCCGGTTCGGGACCCGGGGTGCACACCGCAGAGTCCAAAGTGCCGCGCCCGCGGCCCCGCGCGCCTCCCCGCTGCCCACCTGCCCACCTGCCCAGGTGCGACCGCAGCCCTGCGCGCCGGCCGGAGGGCTCTGCGGGCAACCTCGTCGTTGTCAGGCACAGAGAGGTAGACCCTTCTCCTCCAAGTGGGCAGCGGACAGCGGCACGCACATCTCACCTGTCCCGCAAAGAACAGCACCATCTGCTTGGGAGAACCCTCTCCCTTCTCTGAGAAAGAAAGATGTCGAATGGGTATTCCACAGACGAGAATTTCCGCTATCTCATCTCGTGCTTCAGGGCCAGGGTGAAAATGTACATCCAGGTGGAGCCTGTGCTGGACTACCTGACCTTTCTGCCTGCAGAGGTGAAGGAGCAGATTCAGAGGACGGTCGCCACCTCCGGGAACATGCAGGCAGTTGAACTGCTCCTGAGCACCTTGGAGAAGGGAGTCTGGCACCTTGGTTGGACTCGGGAATTCGTGGAGGCCCTCCGAAGAGCGGGCAGCCCTCTGGCCGCCCGCTACATGAACCCTGAGCTCACTGACTTGCCCTCTCCATCGTTTGAGAACGCTCATGATGAATGTCTCCAACTGCTGAACCTCCTTCAGCCCACTCTGGTGGACAAGCTTCTAGTTAGAGACGTCTTGGATAAGTGCATGGAGGAGGAACTGTTGACAATTGAAGACAGAAACCGGGTAGGTGTCTGTTCAGACGGAGCTAGCCTTTTAGGCAGATTTTGCAAAGCAGGTTTCCTTGTGCGTTTGCCCCTTTCCAAATGTGCATGACATCTTTGGGCACATCTAGTTTCTTCCTTTGAGAAGACAACATCTAGGCACTTTAAGACAATGTTGAAAATTTAAACACAAAAGAACTACTTTTCTAATCTTTTCACTGAACTAAAAAGGAGTTAACTTTAGAATTGTAATGTATATTAACAGGTAACATGTATTGAACACTTACTATGTGCACTTGGTATCATTTTCAAAATGTATTACTACAGTTCATGTTCAGAGTAACCCACTGAGGCTCCTAATGTTATTAACTCCATTTTGCAGATGAGAAAACCTGAGGCAGATTAAATAATTTGCCCAAAGTGTTGAATGTTTTTCTTATTTAATGTGGTTGCACGGAGCAGGGGTCAGCAAACTACGGCCCACGGGCTAAATCCAGCCTGCTACTGTTTTTTTCAGGCCCCCAGGCTAAGGACGGTCTCTAGATTTTTCCATTTTTAATTTTCAGTGTTCATAAAGTTTTATTGGAACACAGTCATGTTCGTTTGTTTACATATTGTTTGTGGCTGCCTTTCTACTCCAAAGGCAATTGGATGGAGACTATGTGCCCTTAAAGCCGAAAATATGTATTATCTGGCATTTTAGAGAAAAAGTTTTCCAATCTTTGCCCCACATTACATATTGTGCCATTTATTCTTAGCCCAAATGGGTAAATTGCAATCACACACACACACACACACACACACACACACACACCCCCTTTTCTCTTTCTTTAATCAAAGTTTCTACATTTTCTGAGAATCAAAATTTAAAAACAATTCATTGAAAGAATGTGTTGCTAATTTCAGTTTTTCATATTAGTGAAGAAACTGGATTTTTCTTAAGGTGGCATTTTGACAGGGCGAATTTTACTGATGACTTTACATTAAATGTGATATGAATTGTTTTTTGATAAGTGAAGATGTACTGAGGTGTGTATAAATGCTGACCTGTTTGCATCTGACTTACTCAGGCTCGTAAGTCAAAAGTCTTGTTTTGAAAGACATGTAGATGAATAAAGCCATGACTAAAAGTCAAAGGCTTTGTCTACACCACTGTATGATTTTCACATTTTTTTCCTCTCTTTTTGGTTCATCCATTGTTTGTGTATTCATTACTAACTTCTGGGCATTTGATTGATTGGCTATAGCCTATGATGTAATTTAGTCTTTAGTGAATAAAGTTAGTGATCTTTTGTAGACTTGACAGACACAGGGCCTGTCCAAAGACCCAAACATGCATCTAATTTTGATGGCCAGTTTTCCCAACAAGTAAATTACTTTGCACTGTTGTCTGTAATGTTTATGTCGTTTTGTGTATTGAGAACAAGCTAGAACGCATTATAGTAGTCCAGCTGGATATGACAAATGTGTACATCACTGTGGCAGAATCTTAATTTGGAAGAAAGTATGCAGCCTTCAAGCCAGCTGGAGATGGAAGATGGCATTTCCAGCCACAGTAGCTGTTAGAAGTCCAGAAGCAACAGAGTCCAGTAACACCACAAAGCTGTTTATGTTTGGTGGGTATGATGTCCCGATTGCCAGCGAAACAGCACTTCTCCCTATTTACTCTAAATACTTCTGCCTATCAGCATCACTTTTGTCTTGCCTGGATTGAATTTCCGCCAGCTAGATTTTATCCAAGTTCTTGATTCTGGCAAGCTTGGAGGCAGCTAGCAGTAATGCAAGGGATTTGACACAAAGAAGATATAGAGTAAAGGGACTTTCTTGTACTAGTAGCAGTTAAGGCCAAAGCAACCCAAATTCTCCCTCTGATTCACATTTCAAAGGAGGCCCCGAAAGACTAAGCAGCTATACATTTGAGGCTCTCTAGGAAGTAATAGTATCTCTGTGAGAGTCTGGAATAATTGTTGTGTGCATCATTTTACATGTATTATCAGTTCCAAAAATAAGCTATGGTGGACAATGAGAAGCAAACATTATGTTTGGAAGAATAATCTATATTGAGGTGGTGGTCATTGATGAAGGTTTATCTTACAGCAGCAAAGTGTGATAAGACTGTAGAAGGGGAACACATGGATCTGAGGTCTATCTTGGCTTCTTACTGTATGTGTTACTTCGGGCCAAATTATTTAAGTTCCCTGATGCTACACTTACCTGTGAAAATGGACATCATAAAATTTCTCACAGTATTTTATTCAACATCAAATCAGAAATAGTGTTTATGAAAAAGCTTATAAATCAGAGCTATTTGATATGATAATGGTGTTGACTTTTATTACTATTCATCTGATTACATTTCCTTGTAAATTTAAGTTTGAGAGATTTAGGTAAATTCCCCATGTTGCAATTGAGATATACTTCTTAAAGTCCCTAGATTATACTGATTTGAAAAAGAAATTACCTCTTTCATCCCAGAACCTAACCAGGATTAGGAATAGGGTTGGTGTTTAATAAGCATTGATTACTTGATTGATAGACTGATTGAATTTATTTCTGAAAGTGTCTGGAATAAGTATTGAAAACACATGATGTATTGAATTGTGTTGCTAGGCATTAAAGAATGGATGAATGATGAAAATAAGATTTCCAAATTTGCTTTTTTGATGGTTTAAAATAAGTAATCAAGACTTCCATAAAATGGTCTGGTATTTTTGTTCTTTTTCTGTTTTACCATAGACATTTTCTACTTGATCTATTATTTCAGTTTAGGATTCCCACCCCATTTCCTAGCCCCTGCCCCTGATTCCAGCAGGCCTTCTGAAAATGACTTTAGACATAGGTTTGTGTCCAGCAAGTACCCAAAAACTTATTCATTCATTCATTCATTCAGTTTGAATTTATTGAGTGGCATCTTTGTGCCAGATGCCATGCTAGTGGTGAAAAGACAGGAGAAAAACACAGAGACTGTTTTGTCCTTTCTTGAAGTTGTGTTATAGTGTTCATCAGTGTTGATGAAAGAATGTCTACTGTAGGCCGAGCACGGTGGCTCACACCTGTAATCCCAGCACCTTGAGAGGCCGAGGAGGGCGGACCACGAGGTCAGGAGATCCAGACCATCCGGGCTAACACAGTAAAACTCAGTCTCTACTAAAAATACAAAAAAATTAGCTGGGCTTGGTGGTGGGAGCCTGTAGTCCCAGCTACTCGGGAGGCTGAGGCAGGAGAATGGTGTGAACCTGGGAGGCAGAGGCAGGAGAATGGTGTGAACCCGGGAGGCAGAGCTTGCAGTGAGCCAAGATCGCACCACTCCACTCCAGCCTGGGCGACAGAGCAAGACTCTGTCAGAAAGAAAGAAAGAAGGAAAGAAGGAAAGAAAGAATGAAAGGAAGGAAGGAAGGAAGGAAGGGAGGGAGGGAGGGAGGGAGGGAGGGAAGGAAGGAAAGAAGAATGTCTACTGTATACAAGGGACTATTCTAAATACCAGAGATTCAGCAGTAATATATATGCCATTTTATCAATCATTATAATAAAGCGATCCTTGTACCGCCTTGCTCCTCTTTTAGGATGCTAAGTTACAACTTGGCATTGTTACAACTTGGCACACCCATCAACTTAGGCAGTCATGAACTCTGGGAACTGAAGTGATCATATAAACATTTCCATAGTGTCTTAATAATCAAGCTGAACAGCTAAAGAGAGGTGCATGTTTCATCCCTGGCCAGTTCAGAACACAAAGCATCTGTAGTCCTGGAGACTCCACACCCCTTTCTTTTACACAGGAGAACCAGAGATGCCATGACTAGTCCAGCTGAAAACAGTCCAGTTCTCCCAACATCAAGTTGAGTACCCAAGTCAATCTCCCCAAGAATATTGTATTGTCTGGCAAATTAGGAAGGATAAGAATTTCATTTGAAAAAAAAAAAAAGTATGACTAAG